ACACACACACATACACACATACAGACACACTAACTGCAAAGACTTCCATTTTGTGCTTCGCACATGGGAGTAAAAAAACTTACCTGAAATGCATCTTACAATATTTGAAAAAATATGGATTTTGTAAAGAAAATTCACATCATATAAACAAAATAAATGTGAAAGCAAAAAAAACAAAAACCATAACATTTAAGCCTTCAGCAGTCAACAGTTGATGTTAGAGGACATTGACTTGTAAAACTGATCAAGTAAAATATGACAATGAGAACTGTCATACACACCTGTTTCGTCTTTTGATGAAGCCAATGAAGATGTTTTTGATGGTGTTTTACCAGATATTTTTGCCGAGGTCTTGGTAGATGACTTTGATGGTGTTTTAGATGATTTTGATGGTGTTTTAGTTGACGACTTTGACGGCGTTTTAGAAGATGACTTTGACGGCGTTTTAGAAGATGACTTTGATGGCGTTTTAGAAGATGACTTTGATGGTGTCTTGGTGGATGTTTTGGATGGTGTCTTCGCTGTCGCTTTTGATGGAGTTTTAGCAGTGGATTTATCATATAGTGGCACAAACTTGATACCATTAAATGCCTTTCGCACATAATATGTTTTCATACCATTACTGACAACATACTTGGGTAATACATCTTCCATATTTGGTAAATGGACAACCTGAAAAACAAAATATTCCATTGAAAACCACTTTATAATTTTGCTAAAGCAATGACCCAAATTCTGTGAGTCAGTGAAAATTGAAGTGTCAAAAAACTTTTGCAAAATTTTGACTTCAAGAATGCCATGCCATACAATATTCAAATTCCTAGCTGCCATAATGTTAATGCGGATGTTAGAATTTCATTTAAGTAAACAATGTATATTACACGTGCTCTACCGTTAAAGTCCTATTATAAACCGCGGTTTATATTACAATGTATCAATTTAAAAATTAGGATCAAAAGCTCAAGTTCGGGGTGCGGTTTCTATTACGTACATATTGCAATCACTAAATGGGCGTGGTCATTTTTTGTCCACAACACATGCACAAAACAAACAATACACCGTACAATCTCTTGAATAGGCGTCGGGG